CCCACCCCACGCGTGGGGTAGCCGTCGTCCTCAAAGGCCTGCTCGGGGCCGCGCCGCGTCACGTGCGTCACCTCGGGGATGACATAGAGGAGGAGGAAGGCGGTGGCGTTGCAGACCAGCGCGATGGCCAGCGTGGGGTCATCCCAGCCGGGCTTGTGGCCGGCACGCCGGTTCCCATACAGGTACATGATGGTCCACGCCAGCCAGATGGCCACGGAGAGGCCGGTGGTGGCCAGGATGAAGGCGCCGTGCTTGCGCCAGCGGCCGTAGCGGCCGCAGAGGGTCGGCCAGGCCGTGCCGAAGGCGGCCACCAGCAGGGCCATGACGTAGATGAGGGCCATGACGAAGTCGGTGTCCCCCAGCTGGCAAGGGTCCGCGGGGCCGCCCTCGCGCCGCGCCACCGTGATGATGAGCCACTCGGCGTTGATGATGACCTCGACCGAGGCGAGGGACAGGGCCACCGCCAGCGTCACCCAGCCCCGCGGGGCCCGGTTGCGCCGTGCCAGGAAGTTGAGGGCCACGGCGTGCGCCAGCAGACAGGAGAAGCAGATGGCGAAGAGGACGCCGAAGAGGAAGCGGCGGGAGGTGCAGGTGGAGAAATCTGGCCCCACGATGAAGTCAAAGGTCAGGCAGAAGAGCCCGAAGGTGCCCAGGAGGAAGAAGACCTGCGTGGCCACCAGGCTTTTCTTCTGGTGGTCCTGCACGAAGGGCAGGCTGGCCACCAGGACGATGGTGAGCACGAAGGTGGTCACCACGCCGAGGCTGGCCACCGCTTCCACCCCGATGCCCCAGCCCGCCGAGAGGTCACAGAGGTTGTAGTAGAGGGAGGAGAGGTCGTGGCCGCAGCCCGGGGGTGGCGTGGGCTGTGCGGTGGCCGTGGGGAGCAGGGCCAGCAGCACGGCCGTGGTGCCCATCCTGCACCGTGGCATCCAGGGACCCTGTGGGACACAGCGGGGTCAGGGCACAGGCACTGGGGATGGGGATCAGCTCCCACCTCGCAGCATCCCTGCCCGTGCTCCTCACTGGGCATCCCGTGGGGAGCAGCGGGGTCCTGGGCAGCTCCGGATGGCACCAGGCAGCCACGCGTCCCCCATTGGCTCCTTGACTGCAGGCTGGTGGCAGCTGGGGAAGGGCTCAGCCCCTCTGTGCCCCATTTGATCCCTCCCAACATGGGAATTCTCTGGGGCTGTCCTGATCCCTTCCCCCAGTGTCAGGAGCAGCACCGTGCCTGACGCTTTCCGGGAACACCAAACGTGGGCACAGACCAGATGGCAGAGGTGATACCGGGGGACAGGGCTGTCCCCTTGCCTTGTCCCTGCGTGCCACCACGTTCCTCTTTCCACTTCTCCCGTCCCACTTCCCTCTGGCTTTGGGCACCGGCCCAGTGCAGGTTGCATGTCCAGCCTGCTGGCACGTAGGCAGCCGCAGCCTGGCACGGCACGGCACGGCATGGCACGGCACAGAGTCCCGGTCCCTGTCCCCCCCATTCCTGCCACCCCACGGTGGGCACGGGGAAGAGGAAGCAGTGAGGAAACTGCAGCCTCACTGCTGGTGGAGGAAACCGGGAGGAAACCCCAGCAAGGACATGCCGGGGCCGGGCACCCCGATGCGGGCACCCCCCGGGATGGGGACAGGGACCCCCAGCACCAGGCTGGGACGGAGTCCCTGTGCCCGCGGCTTCCCAGAGCTCCGCCGCCTCCGGTTTCCCACCGCGTCCTCCAGCCCGGTACCCCCGCCCGGTTTCCCCCTCGGTCCCGGCGGCTGCACCCGCGTCCCCAGTTCTGCTCCTCCTGCAACCCCGCCCGGTCCCTCGCATCGCCCGTTGG